ACCAGCGTGTCTATATGTGGTAGGGGAAAGTCGTCTTTTGGACTTGCTCGATTGAGGTCCCTATAATCCACACACACCCTGACCTTCCCGGTCTTTTTGATGACGGGTACTATATTGGCCAACCATTCTGGGTATTTAGAAACTACCAGGAAATTGGCGTCTAGTTGCCTTTGTACCTCCTCCTTTATCATTAAGGACCAGTCGGGTTTGATTCTTCTGAGTTTTTGCTTTACAGGTCGGAACCCCTCCTTCAATGGCAACCTATGTTCCACTATACTCGTGTCGAGCCCAGGCATGTCATGATAAGACCAAGCGAATACATCTATATATTCCTTCAAAAGCTGTATCAATCCCCTTTTTATGCTACTTTCTATTTGGGTGCCGATGTTCACCCTTTTCTCATAATCCCCTTCCCCCAAATTAACAGTTTCTATCTCTTCCTGATGCGGTTGTATGATGCGTGTTTCCTTTTCTAGCATTCTTTGCATATCCGGAGAAATGGTCTCCTGCTCACTGTCGGACTCGACCCATTCGCCTTTGGTTTCCGGGGTCCACAGAGATTCATCAATCACAGACATGATGTGTTTTAGGTTCTGTTTTAATCATAAATTTTATTATTCAATTATTTTCGAAAGAATAATAAATAGAAGAGGGAAAAGAATGAATATGACAAAATGCCTCGTGTATTAAAGAAAGTGTAAATGTATGTACAAGTCCTTTTAATCAGAAATCCTGCGGCCACGGGCGGGGACTGCAGGAGATAAAGAGAAAAGCTTTAAAAAAAAACCCTAGGGCTGATCCTCCCAGTCCTCCCTCTCTGTTATTCTGGCTTCGACAGAGGTTTGGCATCGACATCGGAAGCAGAGGCATCGAAAGTTATCCACCCAGCGTCGATTAATTCTTGAACCCGATACTTAAGGGTCAAGCAATTTTCTGTGGAGTGTCCGGGTGAACCCGAGTGGTAAGCGCATTTCTCGTTCGGCTTATACCATTCGGGGTAGGGAGGTTCCAACTGCTTCTTGGGAGGAACGCAAGTTAGGAGTTTAGCCTCCAACAGCTGAGGCAGCAGCATTCCATAGGAAGTGGAGATTGGAGTGAACTTTCTCTCTTTCTTGTGAGGCTGCCTGGCCGTTTGTGGGGCAGAAGAAGGAGTGGCAAAGTTGATTGCATGCACAAATTTGTCCTTCTTCTTGCCAGCAGGCTTCCTGAATGAGACACCAGCTTGGGAAGATTGTGCTATCTTCCCGCTCCTCAGTCCCTGCTCCACTCTTTCGCCCACAGTGACTATGTCCGAAAAAAGGTTGGAGGTACTGGCTATTGCCTTGTCGTAGTACGCTCCAATCAGTGAATCTATGAACATAGCCACTGTCTCCTTATCCGTCAAAGGAGGCTCTATCTGGGCTGCCATTTCCTCCATCTTTGGGCGTACGCTTTAAAAGGCTCGTCGCTCCTTTTGCTTAAAGTCCTGAGATCTGACCTATCAGGGGTCAGGTCAATGTTGTATCGGTAGCGACGAAGAAAAGCATCAGCCAATTGTTTCCAGCTCTGGACCTACCCTCTCTCTAGCTGCATATACCAATTGAGAGTTGTATCCACCAGACTCTCCTGGAAGCAGTGGATCAGGAGTTTCTCGTTCTTAGCATGGGCGGCCATCTTACGACAATACATCGTAAGATGGTTCTTTGGGCAGGTCATCCCAGCGTATTTGGGGAAGTCCGGGATCTTGAATTTGGGAGGGAAATGGATATTCTTCACCAGGCACATGTCCGCCACCTCCTTGACATCAAAGTTGTGCCCCTCCACCGCCTTCAGCCTTTCTTCTAGGGCGGAGATTTGTTGTTTGGATACCTCTGGGGTAAGGATGCGTGCAGTCTTAGCATCCTTCTCGTCATAGAAGTATTCCTCTTCCTCTTCCTCATGGTGAGGGATGTGTTCAGCTTGGGCTTCACCCTTACTCTGACCCTGGCGTACGACCTCCATCAGTTGGACCACTTGCTCGCGGAGGGTATTGACCTTCGCAGTGAGCTTTCGGTTTTGCTCTTCTAAGTTTTCCATTGCCTTTGCCTTTTGTGCACGAGTTTAGATGGGGAGAGGACCAGCCACTTTCTAGAATGCCCGAAAAAGGTTTATTAATGCATGTTGAGTGCTTAAACTAACATGGATATGCTTATGCATGAGAGATTCTGTTTAAATGATGCTGAATGCGCTCTCACTTTTTATTTTTTCTCTGGGTTTTTCTTTACTCGTGATGAATATGAATGATACAACTTTGTCAAACGTTTCGATTTTTTTTTGTATTTATTTATTTTGGATTTTTATTTTATAGCCTTTTATCTCTTTTGTCGGAACTGCGTGACTACTTAGCTTACAAAGAACCTGAAACCAGGCTAGCTAAAAGGCAGATTGTCTGAGATAAAATGTGGTTTTATGTGAAAGAATATTTAGCGTCCCTTATCTCTTTTGTCAGAACTGTGTGGCTACTTAGCTTGCAAAGAACCTGAAACCATGCTAGCTAAAAGGCAGACTGTCCGAGATAAGGGTGTTTATTGCAAAAATATTTTTTGTGATTTTTCTTCTGTTGTTTGGTTATGCTATGCAACAGACAAATGCAACAAACATATGCACACACAATTCGATCATCCACGAACATGCGAGAATTTGTTTTTATTACGAGGTAGGGTTTTCCTGCAGAAAAGTGATTTGGCGAAGGTAGGTTCTAACTGTTCTCACCAAGGTTAAGGCCCCCAAGGTGCCCCCATTATAGGGTCCCCACTCTCCAGCCTTCCGACCATGCTTAGCACTAAGGCCATAGTCAGTCTTTGTGCCAAAAGAGGAAGGTTATCACCTTGAGTGGTGGTTTCCGATCACACCGGTGGGCACAAGGCCATCACTACAGCAAACCGTACCTGCCACCCACTCCCTATGGATTTCTCACTTGCCCCCGGGTATAGAGGGAACTGTTGTATGCAAGGGTTTGTGTACAGTTTGTATTTCAAACAATTGCGCAAGTATAAACAAGCAACAGTTATTAAAGCCAAACAGTAAAACATGTTATAATACAAGGTAGGACAAAAGCGTTATTTTCTTGGTTTATTCATTTTTAAGCTGGCCCATCACTAAATGGGATCAACTCTCTAGGCATCCCCAGTGGAGTCGCCATCTGTCGCCGCCGTCAAAACGAGGGCGGTCGGAGCGACGCGATGGTTTCGACTTCTCTTGTTTTCGCGTTTTTTATTGGTGGTTACAACGCCTTTAGGTTGTCCGATAACCGGGATGAACCTAGGGGCGAGGTTTTCGAAAGGGTGCCCTTGGATTGTCCGATAACCGGGCTAACCCAAGAGCTATTTTTTTGAAGGGTTCTCTGGAGTCGCCACCGATGTTTTTACCGGAAACATCGAAAAATGTGTTTAAAAGGCGTTGGTTTTCGAAAAACCAACTTTGGTCGTTAGAACCAGAGTTGGGTAAGGGAGTTAGTTACGCGTAAATGAAGTGTTAGTTCCTTTACGACGCCCCTTACGAGTTCCCTATGATAGGCCAGCTATTTTAAAATAAATAAACCTGATGAGAATACGCTTTTGCCCTTTTATTTTGTGGAATTTAAAGATTATGACTACATGGCCCTAATATCTATTGCATAATTTAAATAAAGCGGTAAAAGATAGAGAAAGAGAGTAGAGACCTCCGAAGCAAGCTTTTCTATTAATTTCCTTGAAAATAGGGTGCTTTGTGGTAGCCCTTCACTCTACACAGCGTCGGAACCTCTAAAAAACCCTATAAAAACCTCTAAAGACACTCAGAAGCTCCGGAAATGCGTCGGAGGGATTCTAGAGAGAGAAACTAGTGATGTGACTAGAGAGAGAATGAGAGAGGTGTGTGGAATGAGGGGAATGGAGGCCCTATTTATAGGGATTCGCGCCTGTCAGGTCGAGACGGCCGTCTCGCCTGACAAGGTCGAGACGACCGTCTCGCCAATCGGGACGGCCGTCTCGCCTTGCAGGAATGGCGAGACAGCCGTCTCGCCAAACGAGACGGCGGTCTCACCACTTGTGTAAGGCGAGACGGCGGTCTCGACCCCAAAAGGCGAAAATCGTTATTTTTGTGCGAAAAATCCCACCTATCCTAATATGGGGCCTAATAGTCTCTCCTAGTGGCTTCTTAGACTTCGTTCATCTTCGAAAAGGAGGTCTTTTGATCTTTATTATGAGACCGGGCAAGATTTGAGGTCTACAGTGAAGATGTCAGTTAATTAATTAGAGGAAGAAAATGCATTAGACCATGTTGAGATTTCTCTTTAACAATATGACATTCAATATCAAGATTTTTAGTTCACTGGTGAAAAACTATATTAGTAGTTATTTGTAACGCACTTTGATTATCATAAAACAAAACTGACTATTGCTCATAAGGAACATGAACATTGAGTGACGTGGATACAATCTGAATTTTTGATTAATGGATGCATGATTATGATTGTTGCTTTTTTGTTGATACCTTAGACAACGTGTATTAGGACATGGTTAAAAAATTCTTATCATGAAAAGTACCTCGGTCTTCTAAGTTATGGGTGATATGGATGTAATTCGGGTCATCGATAACATTGTAGTTGAGAATTTCACCTTAGAGATTCAATTGAGTAAATATCACTAAAGAATAAATTCAAATCTTCTTAATCTAAAATAAAATAAAATATATTAATTTAAAAAAAAGTATTGATATATTATTTTGATACGAGATTATTTTATATGATATTTATTCTCGTTCTCTTGTTTTATTTCTTAAACATGATAAACTTAGAAATTATTTTGTGAGGATGGTAGATGATGTAGCAAAGTTATATATATATAAATAGAAACTGTAATTGTAGTGCACAAAGAGAACCGGGGTACAACTACAATTTTCAACGAACCAAACGATACAAAAATATAGATTGAACAGGGGAGAGATCCCTCTTGGTTAAGTCATTCATAAACACTGAAAATATTACAATAAGCTGAAGCAGTCTAGCTTATATAGAGGCCATTCACAGTGAAGCCACCATCAACACAAATAGTTTGTCCTGTTATGTAAGAGGCTGCAGGTAAACACAGAAATGCCACCAACGAAGACACTTCTTCTCCCTCTCCAAACCGTCCAAGTGGGGTTCTGGGAATGAAAGCATTTCCAATATTTCCCTCTTTCAAGAACTGAAATACAAGTGCAATGCAACCAAATAGTTAACAATAACATCTTTACCGCAGTCCAAGATATATAACTTTACCTCCTCAGCAGTAGGGGTTCTGATTATCCCAGGTGCAACACAATTAGTCCTTATTTTGTCTTTGGCCCATTCACATGCCAAATTTTTTGCCATTTGATTAATTGCTCCTGCGTGTCAAAACATGCATATTTACAAGTTACTCTCTCTATATATATTTCACTTTCACTGGAAATTTAACGTAAAGCAACTAATTTACCTTTGGTTGCACTGTATACAACGGATCCTATGTTTATTGATACCACACCACCAATGGAGGATATGAAAACGATGCTTCCAGCTTCTGAAGCTTTCAGGAGAGGATGTGCAAGCTGGCTCAAGTGGAAAGCAGATTGCAAATTCGTATTCACCACAAACGAGAAATCTTCCTCTGTGTAATCCAGAAGCTCTTTCCATACGTTTGTTCCCACGTTGTTTACCTAAATAAATCCACACATAAATCTAAGAAGCATATCTCTCAAAATATAAATACAAAGGTTATTCTTGATTGTAAAATGATTCGTTTGAGAAAAATGAAAAAGTAACTTCAATTCCATGCAAATGAATTGAGTGAATTAGTACTGACAAGGATGTTGAGTTTGCCATTAAACTCGGAGGCAACTCTAGAAACGAGTTCTTCTCTATCTGCACGAGAGGTCACGTCACATACTGATCCAGTTACTCTGTATCCTTTTGTGGCCCATTTATGTAGAGATTCACTGAGTTCAGCTTCGTTCCGAGAGCAAGTGTGTACAGTGGCCCCAAGTTGTGCTAACTCCACCACAATAGCATATCTATACATATATGAGAAGACTTAATGGTGAGAAACATGAACACTTGTTTGGTGATATGATACAAAATTCATTGATTCGAGCATTTGGCTTAGCAGCTTGTGTTGGGTTTTGTTTTTTCGAGAGGAATTGCTAGATCAGTGTTCACGGATTTTAAGTTAACACATGAGTGTACGGGGCGCTGATCATCAATGGATTCCATGTTTACACATAAGACAACGTCAATTCGTCTTCATCCTCGATCTAAAATCTCAAGAAAATAAATTTGTACTTTTTCTGCCCTGATGTTCAGGAAGCTTTGTTTGTTTGATGCCAGAAGAGAGACAGATAACATTTTGAGTATTTTAAATGAAAAAAAGTGGAAGAAAAGGAAAAGGTAGTAAAGTAACCCGATTCCTTTGGATCCACCGGTGACGAGTGCTGTCATTCCCTGCAAACACCACCTGCTGCTTCGGCTATCAATGTTTGGCTCACCCATTTTTTTCTTTTTCTTTTTTTTTCTCTTCAATGAAGGATAGGATATGATGAATGGACCTGTATAAGATTATACTGCATTGGTTCTTTTGTATTTATAATCATAAGTTAATTGGTTCTCTGAATGTATAAAGTATAGGCTGCGCATTAAGTTGCTGTCATTTTCTTTCTTTCTTTCTTTTGTCTCATCGCTCGTCATATTTTTACTTTTCTTTCTTCAAGAACATGAATGTGGACAATGGGAAGAGGATTCTTCTATCCTATTCTATATCTGGTGGAGGATTTATCTTGTTCCTGTTTTATATTTTGACAAACAAATACAAAGAGTAAATTAAAGTATCTTGTTTTTCTTTCTTCATTTATTTTGTCATTTTTGGTATTTACGAAGAAACTTGTCTAAACAATCTTTAGTATAATAAATATTGTAATAAATAATGATAAAATAATTTTTAAATTATTAAAAAGAGTATGAAAATAAATAAAATTAAATTAAAATGAACGAAAATTAAAATATTGGTGTAATTTATTTTATGTATAAACCTAAATATTACTAAGACTTGTCTTCTTTTGATTTGATATCCTAAACAACATCGAACAAGGAATTGCGTTTTCTTTTTTGATTTGTTTACTGTAAATTACATTAATGAAAATTTATTTTATTTTTCTTTCAAGAAATTTTAATTTTTTTAATGATGTAATAATGAGTAGAAGTTGCAATAATTTTTCTACCTACATGTTTTTAACTTTCTTTGTACATCTTGGTTGAGCTACTAATTTAAAACAGGAAAAAAATAAAAAGAAAGATGTAGACAGGAGACATGATAGTGAGCTGTATGATTTCTATTCAGTCAAAACCTTGAAACTATGTATGTTGTTGATGCAAGATCAAATACCAACTTTGCCACTAGTCATCATTGATGATTTAACTTTAGGTAATGTATGTTATAAAAAAAAAAAAATCCAACATCATTTATTTGTTAGTAAATAAAAATAATTTATTAAAATTATATAATATTGAATATTTCACCATCTAATTAACCTTCAATTTTTTAACCCTATTTTCTTTAAATTTTTTTCAATTTTCATCATCTCAAAGTAGCATTTTACCATTGTGTCTTGCTTCAAAATCTAGTATCTTCTTCTAACCATTCTTTTGATATATTTGTAAATTTTATCTCAATTTTTTACCCTTTTAATTTCCACCCTTTGACCTCAATTTTCTTCTTTTATTACCATTTCGTATTAACAACTTCAAAATTATTTCCAACTTTTTCTTTCAATACATTTGTAAATATTTTAGTAACAAGAACATATATAGTCAGAATATGACTCAATACCACATTGCACGAACCTTCATATCATCCACAAAGTACATATTCAAGCATAGACCCTAACCAAAGCATTAAAAAGACAAAACAAGCTCAAGTACACAACGAAGATCCGCTCCCAAATCTTTCAAGAATTGGACTAATCCTTAAAAGAGTTCATCCTCACTGAATCTCCAACAAGCTGTCTCCCAAATGGATGGACACATATTGAATCATTGAAGTCATCAGGAGAGTAGCATTCCGCCTAAAAAATTGTGACGGAGGAGATGCCCCTCAGGCATAGAGTGTGACCAATTCTATGTGACCAACCTTCATTTTTGTTTGAGTTAAAATAATTCCTATATTCATGTATATTTCCTTTAATAAAAACCTTTAGTACTCTTTTCCACCATCAGTTTTTTATTTTATTTTTGTAGTGTCCATCTGTCCATGTGAGGTCATAGTGACGAGTTTCCTTATCTCAGGGATGCACTCCCAAGAATCTCGCATAAACTTAAGTATGTTACCAAGAATGAAGAATAATCAAACATAAGGAATTACGAATGAAGGCTCAGGTCCAAGGAGAGCGGTTAATATAAAGAAGTATTAAGGTTATAAGGGGGTAACTCATAAGGTAATACTAAGGATCGAAGAAAAACATTAACAATTGGCACCGTCTATAGGAAACGATAAAATGTTTCCTACTATACAAAAGGAAAAAAGCCAAGAACACAACCTATAGATTCCATGGAAGAAGAACATGCAGAGCCATCCAAGGAAGGTTAAAACCTCTACTAGCAGCTCATGGACTGATACACTAATTTTGTGGTGTTGTAGCACCGCCACCTCCTCGTCACAGCCACCACCCCTAACCTTGTTGTCGATTCCTGCCATGGAGCCATTGGATTATGTTGCCCTCTTCGCTCTCATTTCCTTCATGGTCATCCTCCTTCCCCTTATATCATTCGGCAAAATTATAGCACCAAAGTCGCACAAGGGAGCCAAGATCCTCGTTGCAGTGCGAACTAGGGAAGGAGAGAGTTGGGCACGACATGCGAGGGCCACATGTTCATCCTAACATTTTGAAACTATTTGACACAACGACACGATGATGGGATTCTTAGGCTTGATGGGTTACTATAAGCGATTCATTAAAGGCTATGCTTCAATTGCAGCACCACTAACAAAATTACTAAAGAAAGAGGATTTTCAATGGTCCTCAAAAGCTGAAGAAGCCTTTTTGAAACTGAAACACGCTATTACTTCAGCACCAATGTTGTTGGTCCTGTTGGAAAAACAATAATAATAATAATAATAATAATCGTGATTTTGATTCTAATGATCAAACATAAACATAATCCCATACTGATAAACATGTTGTAAACTGAATGCGAAAGCGTCATCTGAATTAGCCATAACGATGATGTCTTTGTAGAGCACTATATTGATCTTATGGTCTTCCACCTGAAGAGCACCTGTATTTCCCTCTTGATTTTCTCTCTTGATGGGGATAGAAAGAAAGGAACCGGACTGATACTTACGTTCTGTGTGTATGCTCCTAGAAGGGGACCATGACCCTTTAGATAACCAGAATTAGGTTAATTACTTAAGTTTTAGTATTTCCAATTTGGCCCCTCATTAAATTAGAAATTGTTCAATGGTCTCTACACAATTTTATTTTCATGACATATGCTTTTAGCCAAAACTTTAATTTAGTCAGATTACTTTATTATTTGGCTTAATAAATAATGACCCTAACACATTTAAATTATGTATCATATATATACATGACCCAAATTTTGCCAACAATCTCCCACTGGTCACAAATATATATGTCCTTACAACCTTACAAATGTGTTAGACTTTATGAGCTCAAAATTGTCATTATATTCCTTTTAGCACACTCCAAAAGTCTTGTCCATTAATCATATCAGAACATAGAACCAAACCAGCTTTTCATTGCATCATCGCAACTAAAACCAACAATGATTACTCATCCTGACATAACCAAATGACATGGATTAATCATGAAATGTGTAGCATGAAAAATTACGTGAAGGTGATCTGTACACGTCTATTTTCAACTGGTCCAAACTTTAACTTATCGAGATCGATATAATATTCTTAATGTATAAAGTGTAATGAATGAACGAAAAAACCGCATATCTATAGATAACCAAATATGTCCAAAAAATAATGTATACATATATGAAATTAAACATAGAACATAAAATATATGAAAGTGACTAACTCCCACTAAACCACAAATTCCTCAAACTGTAAAATACCCATGTGAGCAAAATGCTCATGAAAGACCTTGGGCGGAAGTCCTTTGGTTAGAGGATATGCTATCATGGAGTTTGTCCTTAAGTGTTCTATGGAAATCTGTCCACTTTGTACTCTTTCCTTAACAATTGTAGACCCCAAAACTTGTCCGGCCTCCAAATAAAGAGTAGAAGACCTTCTATTCAAAGATGGACGAAGCTTAAAAAGCCACTAGGAGAGACTATTAGGCCCCATACTAGGATAGGAGGAATTTTTCTGCAAAAAAATAAGGTTTCTCGCCTTTTTGGGACGAGACCGCTGTCTCGAAATCGAGACCGCCATCTCAAAATCGAGACCGCCATCTCGAAATCGAGACCGCCGTCTCGTTTGGCGAGACGGCGGTCTCGCCACCTGCGAATGGCGAGACGACGGTCTCGCTTTTCAGGATGGCGTTCTCGCCACCTACGAAGGGCGAGACGGCGGTCTCGTTTGACGAGACGGCAGTCTCGACCACCTGCGAGTGGCGAGACGGCGGTCTCGACCCTGTCAGACGAGACGGCGGTCTCAACCTGTCAGGCGCAAAAACCTATAAATAGGGGGCTCCATTCCCTCATTCCCACACCCCACACAGAGTTCTCTCCTCCTTCTCTCTAGAAAATCACTAGATCTTCTCTCTAGAATCCCTCCGATGCATTTCCGGAGCTTCTGAGTGTTTCTGTGAGTGTTTTCCGGCATTTAGAGAAGTTTTCGACGCTGTGTAGAGTGAAGGGCTGCCACAAAGCACCCTATTTTCTTAATAGAAAAGCTTGCTTCAGAGGTTTATATTCCCCCTCTCTACTTTTACCGCTTTAATTTTAAATTATGCAATAGATATTAGGGCCATGTAGCCATAGTTTTAAATTCCGCAGAATAAAAGGGTAAAAGCGTAATTTTCATCGGTTTAAGTATTTTTAAATAGTTGGCCTGTTATAGGGAACCCGAAAGGGGCGTCGTAAAGGAACTAACACTTCCTTTACACGTAACTAACTCCCTTACCCAACTCTGGTTCTAACGACCAAGGTTGGTTTTTCGAAAACCAACGCCTTTTAATTCCTTTTCCGATGTTTCCGGTAAAAACATCGGTGGCGACTCCACAGTGTTGAACATTCAAGAACTTGATGTTGCAAATAATGATCATGAAAAATGTTGATTTTGATGATGATCCAAGAGCTTAAAGACTTAGAGTATTGAAGATTGAAGATTGATGATTTCTGTATTGTAATAACTCTGTTTTAGTTTGATTGAGTCTGTAATTATAGAGTCTAAGATAGCCGGTACATAGTCTATAACTTAGAAGCTTCAAAATGCTCAAATTTATCATGCAGGCTCGGCTTTAATCGATTATATAGGTAAATAATCGATTAAAACAGTGAGAAAACCACTTTCTATACTAAGTCACTGTTTTAATCGATTAAAAAGCAAAATAATCGATTATTTCGTACCGTTCCGTACAGATAATCGATTATTTCACCAAATAATCGATTAAACCAGAGAGGATTGGGTTCTAACGTATTTGGCTCTGTTTTAATCGATTAAAACTCCATTTAATCGATTATTCCAGATCTGTTTCGATTTTAAACTTCAAACAAACCCTATTTTCGAAAACCCAATTACCAAGAACCCTAGTTTCGAAATCCCCAATTCCTAAACCCTAATTTCCCTACTTAAACTCTGCTTTGGCACTCGAGAAAAGGAGAACAACTCTTTCCATACAAAAGTTAAGTGCTTGTGAGTGCCGGAGAACTGTTTGTTGCAAGGAAAGGGGGCTTTTGGAACCTGGTGTGAGGCTAGAAGCGATAAGAATCACTAAGTGGAGTTCTTAGTGGATTGTGTGTTGTGTCGTCTCTAGGGAAAGCTGTTCTTCATCTCTTGTGGATTTCAAGAGAGGTGTTGTCTTTACTTTATCTCTTTGATTTGTAATCTGTTTATAACAATTTGTTCTTAGTGACGACGTTAATCCTCTTTTGAGTGATTAGCAATCTGGACGTAGGGTCTTTTGATCCGAACCAGGTATAAACCTACTTGTGTAATCTTCTCTACTCTTCTTTATTTACATTTACGCAGTTTTTAATCGGTAAAATTTGGGGAAAATTTTGAAAACCTAATTTTCATTAAGAAACCAATTCACCCCCCTCTTGGTTTTTGTCCGACCATGCGAACATTCATCTGCGCGATTCTAACAAGTGGTATCGAGCTTGCTTTGATAGTCATTCAAACTTTTCGAAAATGGCTGGACAAAATCAAACTTTTGCCGAAGGTGCGTCTATCAACAGACCCCCACTTTTTGCGGGTCAAAATTATCCTTTTTGGAAAGTACGTATGCAAATATTTTTAGAGTCTGTTGATAGAGGCGTTTGGGACGCAATTTTAAACGGTCCATTTGTTCCTAAAATTACTGAGAACGGTGTTGACGTTCTTAAACCTATTTCTAGATGGACTGCAGAAGAAAGTCGAAAAGCACAATTTGATGTTAGGGCTAGAAACATTATTTCATCTGCTCTAACCCTTGATGAGTTTTATAGAATTTCAGTTTGTAAAAGTGCACAGGAAATGTGGGAAATGCTAAGGGTGACCCACGAAGGAACTGACGACGTCAAAAGAGCACGTAAAAATTCTTTAATCCAAGAATACGAGATGTTCTGGATGCAACCCGGTGAAACGATTTTCGACGTTCAAAAGCGTTTCACTCATATCGTGAACCATCTCACCGGACTAGGTAAAATTTTTGACGTTGATGAATTAAATGTAAAAATTTTGAAATCTCTGGATAGGAAATGGCAACCAAAGGTGACGGCCATCTCGGAGTCACAAAATCTTGCCACTATGTCTATGGCGGCGTTATTTGGAAAGCTTAGGGAGCATGAACTTGACCTTGGAAGACTAAATGAGGAAGAGGGTCAATATCAAAAGAGGAACCTAGCTTTCAATACCGAAATTTCAAAAAGCAAAAATAAGAAAGAAGAAGAAGAAGACTCCGAAATTGATGAAGAAGAAATGAGTCTTTTTATAAAGAAGTTCACCAAGATGATGAAAGCAAAAGGAAGACATCCTTTCAAAGGTAAGGGAAAGGTAAAAGAAAATTCTTCCATTAATATAAAATGTTTTGGTTGTGGTGAAGCAGGGCATATAAAGACCGAATGCCCAAACAAGAAAAATGATGAACACAAGGGCAAAAAGCAATTCAAGAAGAAAGCATATATTGCTTGGGATGATAGTGATTCAAATTCAGAATCAAGCGACTCGGAAATAGAAGCAAACAATTGCTTGATGGCAAATGACAACAATTCTTCGGATTTTGAGGTTAGTGATTCCGATTCATCCTCTAGTGAAGAAAATGACCATGATGAATTGCAAAATGCTTATAATGAGTTATTTACTGCATTTATGGATATGAAAAAGGAATATAAAGTTGTAAAGAAGAATCTAAGAAAATCCGAAAAGGAAAATGAGTCCTTAAAATTGAAAATTGCATGTTTAGAAGAAAAGGAGGTAGCTAATATGAAAATTATATGCTTAGATGAAGATAAGGACTTAGCATGTGCAAATTGTAAAGAGCATGAATATGACATAGATATTCTTAACCATTTGCTTGACAAAGCCGAAAAAGAAATTGATGATCTTAAGAAGAATGAAATGGTATTTGCTCAAAATAATGTAAATCATAGAGTTTCTTTGAAAAAGAGTAAAACTAAAAAGAAAAGAGTATGGGTAGAAAAAGGAACTAGAGCATGTCATGATAATAATTTATCTTGTTCTAAAACTACTTCAAATGCA